GACAGAGCCTAACATGAGAACACTTGTAGGAAAGCTGCTATTCACATTTTAACTCAAACCCAGTGGTTATATACATAAACAGTATATAGAATTTTATGCATATGCTCCTTGCCAGGGGGCGCCACTGGGGTGGCCACCCATTTTCTTAGGGTGGCCGTGGCCCCCCCCGACCCCCCTTGGTGGCGCCATTGCTGATAGAAGGCAGCTATTGATCAGCTGGTTGTTTTTAAACCTCACTGTATAAGTTTCACAATACCTGTGTATTTGCCTGAGAAGACCTCAGAGTTTGAAACATTGCAATAAATGATACTGCCTAGGGGGATTCATAATTACGCAGTGTGCAGGTCATTCTTAAATTTTCACTCTAAGCCCTTTCATTCAGCACTATGCCCACAGGTTTGTTGGATGTGCACATGTTCTTGTGTGTTTGAACTAGAATTACAGTATATCAGAATGTGAAATGTAACATTTCCAGTCAGTATAAAAGACAAAAGGAGTGGAAATTTATAAATACAATTTATTGCAATGTATTTGTTTTTTAAAAATGTTCACAAATGTGGACATGTAGTAAACACATTTATTCAAATAAATAGACTGGGCCCGTGCAAGTGGTAACAGCTACTTTTATGTCCGGCATAGGTCCAGAGTACTTAGGAGTCCATAGAGTGGTAGGGAGAAAGGGGGATAAAGGTGGGCGTGTTACTTTTTTAATAACCATTTTGAACTTAAATAAACAACATTAGCCATGTGTTTAGGAGCAAAAAAAAAGGGTCCTAAAAGCCAAATTCAAAAGCTGTGAAACTGCCAACTGAAAGCAGTTCACTGCATTTGGAGGTGGCCTTTAAGGCAATTACCTACTTTACTTAAAAACATAATTATGCTAGTTGTGAAATGAATTAGATTGTTCAAATATAGCCCAGGGCTGCCATGTCAGATGCGACGGTTCTCAATCATGGCATCATTTAAGCTACAAACAAATACAGCCATAACACTGTTCACTGATGGGCACCAGCCTTCCACCAACACTTTGGGTCACAAATGAAAACAGGATCTTCATGCCAGGGTGCTGGAGGTAAAGCCGGTGCAGGTCCTCCATCATGTTGACCAGCTTCACAATGCTGACCTCCCCGTGCAGCTGCCGCCACAGTGGATGATGAGGACATCCAGTGCTGCACTTCTTCGCAGGGAGGGGAAAAGAAAGGGAGAAGCCAGTCAGACCAAGAGACATCCGGCAGGGTGAAGATGCTTCCTAAGCTCTCTGCAGCTCTCTGGCTCTCATGCTGCACATAGCTGTCACCAATGATCTAGAGTGCAACTATGGGAGGAAAATAAATGAGTATAATAAATGCTTCTATGTCACATCTAAAGGAGAAAACATAACAAGGCAGCAACACCTCAAAAATCTAGATAACAGTCTATATTTCCAATGTAATATCAGCGGTCTAAAGTCTAGTTTATGCTGTGGGACCATAAACTCCATTTACCACAGTCACAGAAAAATATTTCTGCTAGATATCATGTACAATGCGTTAAACATGAGCAGCTAACCTTAGCCTAGCTAGTCATGTCTGATGCACTACCAGTCAAGCTTCATGCTAAGACGCCTAACGTTAGCTAACTATTATACATGTCATTTTAAAAAAAGAGACAGCGATAGACTCTGTAGCCTGGCCAATGGTAAATATAAAAAATCATTAAATTATGCCATACTACATTTAAAAGAATTTCTATTAAAATGAGCAACATAACGTCAACTTACCTCCATCTTGCCTGTACACGTTACAACTGAGTGCTGCTCGGAGTTGAAGCAGTCAATGCAAACCCATGATTGGTCAAACCCACCAATAGAATCTCTTATTTTCACCATTTTTGGAGTAGTATGTAGCTGCAGAACCGAAGGCTGCAGTTTCCGGATCGCAATTTTAGGACCGGAATTGCATTTCTAGGACTACTTTGATACTGCCAGCTAGCTGGCTGGCTAGCTAGCTAGCTATGTTACTCTTGACAGCTCCCCGAAGCCACTTACCCTTACCACAACCATCACAGAGTGTGTGCCTAAACTTAAGTTATTGATTATGTGCATGTCGACCGGTTAACCCTACAGCTGTGCTAGCAGCCAGGGTTAACCTCCTTCGTGTTGCTGCACATTACAAACTTGATTTGTCATTGCAGTGCGATAAATATGCTCTTTTTGTTGCTTGCATTAAAAAGACACAAAAATACCTCAAGTGACTTGAAAATCATGTGTAGTACAATGACAATTCCACAAGAGAGCAGCACTGGATTACAACTGAACACTACACATGGGAGTATGACAAAAAATACCCTTTGTTGTAGTTCTGAGTCTGTGATAATTGTGTTTTGATAGATAGCTTGTGTCATATAACGTAAGAAATTTAAGTAGTCTACTCAAATAATGAAATTTCACCAGAACGTATCTCAGCAGTTATTGAACACAATGGAATCGATGTTTATAATTTTGTTGTTATTGTTTTAAGACACAGAGAGCTTCTCCTCAGTGTTCTGGGACGACTCGACTCAGGAGAGGAGGCTGCTAGTGTGTCGATCTTCCTCAGATTGGATGAAACTGGTTTCATTTCCCTCTCTGAACTCAGTAACCATGGCAACCGATAGGCATCACTGCTGAACCATGACAACAGATGGTTTTCAGGACTAAAGATAAAAAGTAGTAACAGGCACAGTTTTCCTCTTATGTATTTTCTTTATTCTTTAATTAAATATTTCACATATAGTGAAGACTGTAAGGCTTTTATTGTTTTAACTGTCTTAAATATTTCCTGTCTCAAGCAAAAACCTCCTACATGAAGATGGTATGTTTGTCCATTTCATGTACCTAAGAATCAACAATGAAATATTCAAATGACAACGTTAACTACTGAACTACTTTTTCTGTCACGATCGTGGTGTGGAGGCAGGTTGGAGGACCCAAACGCAGGACACAGAGCGGAGCAGGTATAGTTCAACGAAGGGTTTTAATATAACCAAAAGCGAGCTCACTTACAGGTGAGTGGCTGAATAACAGAAATCCAATAGTACAGGGAGACAAGACAAGCAAGGCTGGTTACAGGCAGGCAGAGAGTACACACACAACAGACTGGGGGATAACATGAACAATGACCAGGCAAAGACAAGACAGAGGTATATACACCAGGTATATATACACAGGGACTAACGAGCAGGGCGGGAGCAACACAGGTGAAAGACATGAGGCTAACGAGGCACAGGTAGAGAGAGAGAGAGAGAGAGAGAGAGAGAGAGAGAGAGAGAGAGAGCGCAGGGGAAAACAGAGACAGACATGCAGAGGGATCACTGGGGTAACAGACATGACAAGGGTTACCGAACACTAGACGAAAGACAAGACAGACCCCCAAAACCCAACAGACCAAAATAACACTAACTAAACACAAAAGTGCAACACCAAGGATGGCCAACCGGCAGAGCGTGACATTTTCAAACAAACTGATAAAACAAAAAACAAAACAACATGTCCCTGTGAACACATCACATTTTAAATATCAGACACAAAATGTGAGTATTGATCCATTGCTAGACAGAATCATCAGAGTAATCCAAGTCCCTGCTGGAGTCAGTCAGAGCATTTCCATAGAGAGCCACTTTGCATCAGCAGCACCATGCTCCAGTGCTCTGGGAGAGTTTATAGTCCTGAGAGTTGAACACTGGATGACTGACAGCTGTCCTTCATGACAACAGAAGCCACAGAAATCCTCCTCATCAAAAACATGACTTTGATCTGCGTCCTCATCTGGACTCTCCTCTGCTGCTGCTTCACAGGTAAAGTCCAGAGAATCAAACTCCTCTCCTCTATGAACATCCGTCCCTCTGAAATGAAGCCCACAAAACCATGACGCTGCTTTATGTTTTTGTCTCTGTATCCTCAGAGTCCAGAGGCCAGGTCACAGTGACTCAGCCTGGAGCAGTGAGCTCTGCTCTGGGAGGCTCCGTCTCCATCAAATGTAGGACCAGTCAGGATGTATATGTTTCAAGCAACAACCACCGTTTAGCCTGGTACCAACAGAGAGATGGAGAAACTCCTAAACTCCTCATTTACTATGCTAGCAATCGAGCATCAGGGATTCCAGATCGTTTTACAGGCAGTGGATCAAACTCTGACTTCACTCTGACCATCAGTGGAGTCCAGACTGAAGATGCAGCAGTTTACTACTGTCAGAGTGTTCATAACATCAACAGTCAGTATGTGTTCACACAGTGAAAAAGCGTTGAACAAAAACCTCCCTCAGTGAGACTGAACAGAAACTGAAGTGACTGCTGCAGCTGGAAGCTACTGCAGAGACTGATACACTTCACTGAGGACACACACACACACACACACACACACACACACACACACACACACACTGTGCTCCCAGCCGTTAAGAGGCCAGTGTTGATCAGTGGCTGTCCAGGCCTTTCAGAGCCACTGACACGCCGGCAGCACAATGATGATGTCACTGATTCTACTGCTGGCCACCCTGGGGCTCCTTGTTCAGGGTGAGACTCTCTTCTGAAAACTTTGCTTCAGGATGCAACCAGGTTCACAACAATGATGTTCTGCTGTGATGGAGAAACACTGAAACAAGCAGCATTTACCTTCTTCCATCTGTTCTCCATGTTAAAGAAATGAGAGTCTTCTGTTTGGATGTTGATCATCTTTCTCCAAACTGGATTTGTCTCAATAACCCTTCTCCTCTTTTTCATGTTTTCCAGATTCATCAGGAGAAATCATCCTGACTCAGTCTCCTGGATCTCAGTCTATTGTTCCAGGACAGACTGTCTCTCTCAGATGTAAAGCCAGTTCACATGTTAGCAATGAGGTAGACTGGTACCTTCAGAAACCTGGAGAAGCTCCTAAACTCTTGATTTATCATGCTACAAACCGTCAGTCTGGAGTTTCAGATCGTTTCAGTGGGAGTCAGTCTGTAACTGACTTCACTTTGACCATCAGTGGAGTCCAGGCTTAAGATGCGGGAGTTTATTACTGTCACCAGGGTGGTCACAGCTTCCCATTCATACAATGATACAACGTCGTACAAAAACTTCCCTCAGCTGGAGAGGAACTGATCTGAATCACCAGCTGCACAGAAACCATAACACTAGATATTTCAAAAAAATAACCACATTGTAATGTAATGTATGTAAATGTACTTTAATTAGAATGAAACTCATGCAGTTAAAAGTTGTAAAGTTACATTTTACTGAAACACACTGAGAGGTTACAATTATAAGAAATGTCATTTTGTAAGTTTTCCTTTGTTTTAGGTGAGTATTTTATTTAAATTCAATGCACCTCCATGTTGATTTGTAAAATGTGAAATCACTTTCATATTTTGTTAATTTGATATATTCTGTGTTGTTGTTTTTTGCTGATGAGTCTTCTCATCATAAAGGCTAAAATATTTTTTGTTTAAACTTTGGTAGATGTATTGACAGGACTGAGTAAATTGTCTTCATGCAAATAAAACACTGATGATATAGATGTGATGGAAATTTGATATTTTGATATATATTTTGAAATTTGATAGGGCATGCAAGCTGAAGATTTATACAAAGCGGACAAAGTGAGAATAGCCATCAAAAGGGGCTGAAGAACTCTGTATTAACCAATCACAGTACGAGAAAACGGACAGTAGGTGAGACCGGTGGACAAAAATGGACATTGGTACACAGAGATTGTCTGGACAGATACAAAACAGATCCAAATGGACTGAGCTGGAGGGGGCGGGAAACACACTAGTGACAGGAAACAACTGGGACACACACACACTGGGTGAGTCACAATTTCTCACAGAAAAATAAAATCTTAAGCACATTGAAGGTAAAAAAACAAAGTAATACTATATTAATTTATTAGTAAATGCTGATGAGCTTGAACAGCCTACATTGGTGATGAATGATAACCACAAAGAGTTTAGGAAACTGCCAAAGTAGCTGTTAGTAAATTTAACCCCAGCAGGGGATAATATTGCTACAAGATATGTTGAAAACAGCCCAACAGAGCGGCAGGTATTGCATATAAGTAATACTTCTGTTCTGGTCAAATAATATACAGCGGGACATTTGTGTGAATTAAACAGCTGTCTGTGCAGATTAGCATCATAAACAAAAAGCAAGGAGTCTCAGGTTACCATGGAGATGACTTTATACTTATACAAAGGGGTGCGGAGGTGCTGCAGCACCCCCTATTCATAGTTTTCACGTGACGTCACATTCCATGAAAAACGCTCCCTTGGAGGACAAAAAAGACGTTATTTTCCACTGCCAGGAAGCAAGTGATCCACTGTTACTATGAGTTTTTTACTTTTGCATTGCCAAAATGCTGGATGGTAGTTGTACTTTCTGATGCACAAATGGAGGAAGAGACAAGCCTGAGCTGTGTTAGGTGAGGGGCTCCCCACAAGATAAACGTAAACATTACTGCAGTCGAGCGGCGGCAGGGAAAGTTGTGCTATCTGTGAGTTTTCGTCGATGGGCGTGTCCGTAGCGTGGCGTCAAAGATCAACTCTTCGCCATGACACAGGAAGTTGTTGTAACTTCAGTGTACATGCTCACATCTGAACAAAACTTTACGTGCTTGATGACTGTTCCACCCCGAAGACATCCACACGCCAATATTAATTTATATTGTGCCACAAAGGGGACACAGGAAGTGACGTAAAACACCTTCATGCAGCGTCAGAAGCGCGTAGCAAATTCACAGCTGCACCGGCAGAGATCCAGAATATGCAACATGGCCGCCTCACACACCAACACGCTACACATGCGAGGGCCCGCCCAACGCTGCTTGCAGCTTTAATTGTATTTGTGTTGTGGGATTTGTATTAGGCCTGAAACCTACAGGCCACCGTAGTGACCTCATGTCTGAGGTGCAAATTGAATGAGAGTGTATAGCTATAGTTAACACAAAGGTTGATTTGATTTATGTGTGAAATAATATTTAATAAAAAAAAGAAGCGCTTGGAAATATTAAACATGTTTTCTTTTTGTTCACTGCTGCAGGCTGGAGTGACCTGTACACACCCACATTTTCAAAAAGATTGTGCTGAAGGCCAACCAACAGAGCAACAGAGTGGTGGTAAATGCATTAGTGCACCCGTGAGCACTGCAGGTTTCACAGCTTTACATCAAAGACTACACATTTCTCTGTTGGTGATTGGGCAAACGTCTGTTTTTAAAATTTTATATTTCCCACGCGGCTGGTCGGTTTCCGTTCTGCAGTCCATCACACACAGCATGCTGAGATGACCATTGTGTTGCTAAAGCGGTTCGCCCACAATGGCCTCACACATGGTTAGTCTGTCTGTCTCTAATTGCAATTCGAATAGACAGAATAACTTATCTGGGAATGCGATCACAATGAGAGTAAAGCTCTCTCTCCCAATGCATTCAAGCCTTTTCATCTATTCCAGAACCAATCACCATAAAGAGGTGATGATGATTTTATGTACAAGAGATCCTATTACTAAAAAAGATGAACAGAGAGATAAATCTCTCTCCCATGATTCATGGTAAACTAACAGTGCACTTGACTAACTTGAACTGACGAAGCTGAGCTGACAGAGCCTCACTGACTGAAATGGCTCTCTATAGTCTGCCTGTACTCAGGTACTACAAACACATGACCTACGTTTTTACTTAGGCTGCTGACCAAAGGACGATCACATGACCTGTTTTGACACTACATCTTGGAAGCAGACCAGATGCACGGTGCTTATTGTCATGTTGCTTGCTGTGTCTGTTGCTTTTATGTTATGCTGGATGTTTCTTTGTGTGCTGCTGCTGTGTTGATGATAAAATGTGATGCGCGCTAACAGATTGACGCCATTTTTACAGGAAAAGACTGCTGCCTGCTCGTTCCTTGTTGTTTGATGTTATTGTTTAAATCCCTTTTTTTAAACATGGTCCGGAGTTTTGCCCATGCACTCTCCTCCACAGAGAAAAGGGGGAACTGAATGCAAATCTAAGTCGCTCAGTGTTAGAGATGGAATGTAATGTGAACAACAAGTCTGTGTGTGAGATGTGTTATCAGACAGCCTGGAAGCTCAAGGTTGAAACTCATTCAGAGAGGTTTTACACACACAGAGCAGAGTGTCACCCAGAATAACGTACCATAATTTGTTTTTATTTACAGCGAAATGAGGGACGTGATCATATAATTGATTGAACTAACATCACGTGAAAGAATTACTGTCTTGTTGTCATTGTTGAAAGTTTTCCCTCTCCTAAACAGGAGCAGCAGCCAGAGCCTAATATCTAACACTAACCAATTCTTCTTCTTCCTTTTTAGTTTAGCCTTACTAGAAAACTACAGAGTGCTGGTGTTGCAAAACTGTAACTGTATCACTAATGAAATATTGTGGTGAAGCAAGACACTGGTTCATGAAAGGTTTCACAACACACCCTCACAACTTTTGTCAAACATGCTCAATCTGCCTAAGACACAACACAGGGAGGGGATTACAGGTTTCATTAGCAGCACATCCACCACCAGATGAACCGTTTAACCACCTTATGAGGGAGGTTTTTAGCTAAACCCAAGCAAAGAAGAAGTTTTTCTCTTTCCAGCAACAAAGCCGATGCAGTCTCCCGCCAGGAGGTTTTGTGGTGGTTGTGGAGGCTGAAAGAGCTACATGGATACATACCAGCCACTGCAGGAAGATGTCTGCACCAGAACAGTTACAGATCAACAAGCGTGCACAATCAGCAACTGAACCACTGTTTTCCCTGACCTTGTGTTGTGAGTGAAGGAGGGATTGGGAACGCTTAGGCACCCTTTGTCTCAGACTCACAGGCTGTTAGACAGCAAACATCAACACAAGGGAGCTAGTGGGAAAACTCCTGGTCTCACCACTGCTGATTTAAGAGTGAGTAGCATGTTTGTCTCTGGAAGGAGACATCCATGGGACCCAGTCAGACACCCAGACATGTGCGGGCCTACGAGGAACAACACAGATGTTTGCTGCCATTGCAATAACATTAACAGTTCCTCTGTTGCAGTTCTTAGATCACAAGCATGATGCACAAAAGCCACCACAACAGAACACCACAGTGAACTACACACAGGCATTGACATCACATAGCAGTGTTAGAGGCAAGAGAAGCACCCAAAGAGGCTGGGATGCTTGGATAATTTTAATAACTCCTCTTGTATGTTTGTGCCCAACAATACAGCTCCAGATGGTTCGGTGACCCCAGTGCTGGAAGGAATGCGTTCGCTACGAGAAGAACTTGCAGAGAACTCTGAAGTGGACACTAATATGTTTGACTGGTCTGATTCTGTATTTGCTAAATAAAAAGCCTTAGTGATGCCCATACTAGCAGGCCTAATGATTGCTGTAGCGCTGTTACCTCTCTGTGGATGTTGCATTATTCCATGTGCCAGAGGTTTGACTGTAAGAGCTATTGATAAATGTGTGTCTATTCAAATGATCACACTCCATGAACAAGTGAACATGCCATTGTTGCAGCAGCAGGACTGTGATGAAAGGAAGGACCCAGATTCGTTTTCTTGGTTAAACTGGTGTAGATTACATCATGATGCCTTTCTATGACCTGATGATCTTTTTGTAATGCTGTATATTCTTGAGTGATCAAAGAATGCTCACAAGGGAGGAGTATGTGATGGAAATTTGATATTTGTGTTTACTGTTTCACCCTGCATGCTTCATCAGAATAGACCAATGTTTCACTGTGTGGTATATGCAACACTGACATAAAATCTTTGGTTTGAAAATCTGAGATAAGAACCATCTCATGTTGAAAGTACTTTAAATTTCATTTTTAATCCTTGAAACTGTATTGAGTAATGTAGATTTGTACAAACTACATTTTAAATGAATTCATGAAAACACCCGCTTTCATTCTTTCATTCACACCTTGTTTATACCTGCATTTAGAAAGTTCTCTTAATGCAGCTATAAAGAGAAACTTTACAGTGTCTCTGCTAAACAGAGACTCTGTAAGGTGAGACTCAAGGAGAAGAAGAAATTACCTCAGATATAATCCTGCACTGATAAAATGAAGGAAAATGCATCTTTGTTGGTAAAAAATAAAACTATCATGAAATATTATTTAATTTGAAATAACTTTTTTTATTTTCTTACAGTGTTAACAGCATGAGCATTATTACATCAATGAAGCTTCACTACTTAAAGTTGAATATTGTTAATATGATCTGATGACAGAGTAACAGAGTACAGTCACTATAACAGAAATGAAAACAACAAATTTGAATGAACTGGTCTTTATTGTGTTGAAATAATCCAAATTAAATCCAGTAAACAAACTTTAACCATGAAACATGTGATTAGAGAGTGACTTAAGGAAAGAAAGAGACACAGACACAGAGAGAGTTACAGAGTTCAGAGAGCAGAGTAAAACCAGTAGCAGAGTCCCAGTGAGTCAGGTCAGGACTGGGAACACTGGTCTCTCCTCAGTGTCTCTGAGACCAGAGCCTGGGAGCCCTGGGTGGCCTCACAGGTCACAGAGCCCACCTTCCTCCACTGGTCTGCAGGGAGCCTCAGGGTGCTGCTCCAGCTGTAGCGGCCGTCCTTCTCCAGCACCCCGGGGCTCCTGCTCTCCTCCCAGCTGCTGCTGCTGCTGCTGCCGTCCACCTTCCAGGCCAGACTCCAGTCTGAGGGGAAGCCCTTGTTGGCCAGGCACATGAGCGTGGCCTTCCCCTGCTGCAGCTCCTCACTGGAGGGGGGCAGCACCGTCAGGGTGGGGGCGAGTCGACCCACTGCAGAGACAGAGAGAGAGAGAGAGAGAGAGAGAGAGAGAGAGAGAGAGAAGACGTTTTTGAGAAACTGAATTTGGATGATTGTTTTTGTCTGTGCTTTACTGATCAATAACAGTAGTTGAAGATTGCCAGATGTTGAGACGTATCGAAAACAAGTTTCTCTTCCCTCTCTGAGCTCAGTAACCATGGTAACAGACAGGCATCACTGCTGAACCATGACAACAGACAGGTTTCAGTACTAAAGATAAAAAATTTAAACTGACATTTCGTTCCTCTGATGTATTCATGTTCAATGAGCAAACTACACATTTATGAGGTTTAAAGTAAAAAAATATACATTAACTAATATGAAACATTTCAGGTGTATATTTTTTTAACGTTCTGTTCACTTTAAGATTTCTTGTGCAAAACAGAAGAGACCTTGAAAGTGTGTATTTGATTTGTTCATTCATAATGTGCTTTGTTGATTATTTCGTTATGTATCAAATTAAATCAAATTTACTAATCTATACCAAGCATTTTGGTTAAATATAACAGTGATGTTTTAAAGAATAATTTGTTATGTACAATCTGTGAAAATTGAATAGCCTTGAGAAAGACCAAGTAAAACCTTTGAAAAATGCTCTGCTCAGTAAATGGGTTGAATTTTTTTTCAGACAGAATACTTATTAGGAAACATGACATTTTGAAACTGGATTATTGAAGGAGTCAAATGTACTTACATTTAACCTCCAGTCTGGTTCCTCCACCGAACGTGTACCACAGTGATACAAACTCGTTGAGCCGTACATAAACCTCTCAAGGTAGAGAGACACAGCTCTCTGACTTTGACACAAACAAACTCAACAAACGCATTCACTGTTATGAAGTAAAAAGGTAAACTATACAAATTAAAAAGTAAAACTTTCACACTTTACCGAATTTTTAAAGGTCAAAATATATTCTGACTCATAGTAAAATAAGGCAAAAGAGAAAATGTACAGAAAATGAACTTTACATTGAGCTAAATGAAAATACAACAATGATCAGAGATACATATTAATGAAAAACTTACACGTTGATTACTGATAAAATAAACAAAAATCCCAGTGTTGAAATTTCAGTGTAACACTGATGTAAATTTCATTGTTAGTGAATTTAGTGAAATTTATACAACAGAGGACATTCTGAAATCTTTTTAATCTATAGCCAAATCCATATAAAAAAGAGAATTAATATAGCAATCCAGTACTCTGATAAACTGATTGATCCATTGATAAACAGCATCATCAGAGTAATCCAAGTCCCTGCTGGAGTCAGTCAGAGCATTTTCATAGAGAGCCACTTTGCATCAGCAGCACCATGCTCCAGTGCTCTGGGAGAGTTTATAGTCCTGAGAGTTGAACACTGGATGACTGACAGCTGTCCTTCATGACAACAGAAGCCACAGAAATCCTCCTCATCAAAAACATGACTTTGATCTGCGTCCTCATCTGGACTCTCCTCTGCTGCTGCTTCACAGGTAAAGTCCAGAGAATCAAACTCCTCTCCTCTATGAACATCCGTCCCTCTGAAATGAAGCCGACAAAACCATGACGCTGCTTTATGTTTTTGTCTCTGTATCCTCAGAGTCCAGAGGCCAGGTCACAGTGACTCAGCCTGGAGCAGTGAGCTCTGCTCTGGGAGGCTCCGTCTCCATCAGATGTACGACCAGTCAGAATGTTCATGTTTGGGGCAGCAACCAGGCTTTAGCCTGGTACCAACAGAGAGATGGAGAAACTCCTAAACTCCTCATTTACCTTGCTAGCAATCGAGAATCAGGGATTCCAGGTCGTTTTTCAGGCAGTGGATCAAACTCTGACTTCACTCTGTCCATCAGTGGAGTCCAGACTGAAGATGCAGCAGTTTACTACTGTCAGAGTGGTCATTCTATCAACAGTCAGTCTGTGTTCACACAGTGAAAAAGCGTCATACAAAAACCTCCCTCAGTCAGACTGAACAGAAACTGAACTGACTGCTGCAGCTGGAAGCTACTGCAGAGACTGATACACTTCACTGAGGACACACACACACACACACACACACACACGCACAAATAATATTACAAGAAAATATTAAATCAAATTACTTTCTCCATCACAGCTTCTCACGATCCTTTCATGTCTTTTTATAATCCCACTGTCTTTTCTGATTTGCCAAATAATCCAGAGTAGCCAGCCTGGGAAAGCAGATAAGAAAAGTCTTGGTCACGACCTTTGACCTCAGCCTCATACTGGATTAAAGCAATTTCAACTATATACATTTAATTGAAAATATGAAGACACAGATCGACATCAGAAACATTCAGGATCGGAGACTGCCCGAGCAAAACCAGAATATCCCTGAAAGCACAAAATAGTATTTTAAATATATAAACTTAAATCATAAAAATTCAAAAGAAAGAAGTAACCTTCTTGATGTAACTATATCAGCATATACTAAAGAATATGGAATAACACATTTTCTCCAACAGACTAAATTTTTATTTTTAACCTTGGAAAAAAAAAAAATCCCCACAGCATCCATCCACTAACTGTTGTGGAGCTTTCAATCACATCACATGATCTTTCTTAGCAGATGGAGTCACCCAGTTTTCAGGAAAATGTAGATTTTCAAATTCCTATTTCTCTGCATTTTTAGGACTTCATGTCCACGTTGGCTTCAAAGTTAAAATATTCCATGACAGCTGGGTGAACTCCATCTGCTGAGGAAGATCATGTCATAAAAACAGTAATGTAACTGATGATGACTTCCATGTTTTCTGGTTGGAGTTTCTCGAGGAAGCTCTCTGAGATCGTCGGCCTCAGCATCCCCTCAAACACCCAACACTACTTTACTTGAAGAAACTTCCATATTACAGACACCTAAAGATGTCAAACCTACATTGATATTAATGTCACTAATCAATGTCTAAAACACCATATTACCATATTACATGTAGAGGAAGTTTTCAGTGACGTCTACATATAAATATGTAAATATGTAGATCAACGCTCTCAGCACTGAGGGGGAAACACCATGATATGTTGAGGACAGCTACAGCTCACTGACTGTGTGTTTGCATATGTGTCCTGCCTCTCTGCTCCCAGCCGTTAAGAGGCCAGTGTTGATCAGTGGCTGTCCAGGCCTTTCAGAGCCACTGACACGCCGGCAGCACAATGATGATCAATCAATCAATCGATCAAACTTTATTTCTAAAGCACATTTAAAACAACCAGGTTGACCAAAGCGCTGTACATTGACATGAAACAATAAATAGACAAAATACAACACCAGACAAATACAACACACAGTTCTCATGCCAGATTAAAAGCCAAGGAATAAAAATGTGTTTTAAGTAGCGATTTTAAAACTGTAAGGCTTGGGGCCAGTCCTTTATGTAGAGGCAATTCATTCCACAGTCTTGGGGCTGAAAGCTCGATCCCCCTGCTCTTGAGCCGTGTTTTAGGGACAGCAAGAAGAGACTGGTTTGCAGACCTTTATGACCTTGAAGGAGCATGTGGCTTCAACAGATCAGTGATATAGACTGGAGCTAGTCTCTGAAGGGCTTTAAAAACAAACAATAGAATCTTAAAATCAATCCTTAAATTAACTGGGAGCCAGTGAAGAGAGGCAAGAACAGGGGTGATGTGATCTCGCTTACGTGTTCCTGTAAGGAGACGAGTGGCAGCATTTTGAACCAGTTGTAGTCGAGAGAGGGAGGCCAGGCTTTAATACAGGGGTGGCCAACCAGTCAGAGACTAAGAGCCCCCCCAACCCTTCCTCTCTCACACACACACACACACACACACACAGACCTCTGCTCAGCCAGATTTATTGTAAATGTCACACACCAACATGATAATGACAGAAATTGACTCCTACAGACCACAGGCCAGTCATTTTAAACAATGGACGTGTGTGTGCACTGTGTCACACACACAAACTCTCAGTTCAACCAAGTCCACAAACAAAAATATAATAATTTACAATAGCGTTTTTCTTTTACTATGCATGTTGCTTAGTGGGACTTATAGCATTCCTTGCCTTGAACAATCCTCTTTAAATCTGGCTTGTATTCCGTTGTTGCCACTCGAAGCAATTCTTTCACATGG